TTTTTTTTTGAGGCAGAGTCTCTGTCACCCAGACTGGAGTGCAGTGGTAAGACTTGACTCACTGCAACCTCTTTCTCCCAGGTTCAAGCAATTCTTCTGCCTCAGCCTCCTGCGTAGCTGGGATTATAGGCACCTGCCACCATGCCTAGCTAATCTTTGTAGTTTTAGTAGAGACAGGATTTCGCCATGTTGGCCAGGCTGCTCATAAATGTGTCTTTTTAAGTTAAAGTGTTTAAGGTACACGTGTTTCTCGTGTTCCACGTTTTTATAGGCATCTTGTCTGATACGAGCTCCTGCTGCCTCTCTCAGTGATTGCCACTCTTCTCCATTGCTGCTAAACGCTATCATTTGCCCTGATTTCCTATATCAGCTTCCCAGTTGGATGTCTGCCCCAAAAGGTTTGCCTTACCTCTGGTCCTTTCTCCATATTGTAGCCAATAAGAACTATTGAAAGCATAAACCTGATCATTATCAACCTTTACTTTAAAACCCTTAAGATCCAGACTCTTTAATTAATGAGGACATTTAGATCTGGCCTCAGCTTGCCTCTGTAGTCTCATAATAATTTGTATGCTGCCATTCTCTTCCCTCAGACTGTACTTGAGCCTTGTTGATTTGACTCACTTTGACAGGTCAGTTGGAGGTTGGGGTATGTGTCTGTATGTTGGGTCATGGGGGCAGCTGCCATGCTCTCTCATTTCTGGGCCTTTCTATGTACTGCTTCTCTGCTGGGAATTTCTTTCTTTAATCTTTAATCCCCAAAAGTGACTCTGTTCTTCAGGTCTCAGCTTTCTCCTTCAGGAAGCCTTTCCTGACCCTGAAGTTGAGCATCTCTCCTATGTGCTTTTATAACAATATATATTTCCCCTGTTCTGGCATTAGTACACGATGGGTTAATTAATTATTTATGTAGCTGTATTTCCTTCAAGGCAGCTAAACTGTAAGTTCTGTGTAGATGGGGTTTATTGACTAATCTTGTTTGCCATAGTCTCCACGTTGTAAATATTTGAGTAAACAGAGTTTATTCAGAAACAGCTTTCTAAATAGGTAGGTTCTCTGAAAAACACTTAAGTGAAATGTTTTTCTTCATTTGTAGTTGCTGTCTCTGCTGGCCTTCATCTGTGAAGAAGTTGTATCACAATGTACTTTGTGTGGAGGACTTTATTTTTTTGAGTTTGTAAGCTGCAGTGCCTTCCTTCTGAGTCTTCTTATACTGATTGTTTATTGCACTCCCGTTTATGATATGGTTGATACCACAAAAGTAAAAGCATCGGTAAGCATGGGAAAATATCATTCCTGTATTAAGAGCATAGCTATTTTGTAATCTGGCATAGTTTTATTGTTCAAAGGAGTAGTGTTTTGAAACTCAGCAACATGAAAAGATAATATCCCTTGTTCCAATTTGCTCTACTCTTAAGCGCCTCTTTTTCCTACCAAGGGGATGATAGAGAGGGAAAGTGAGATTAGAATAAGAGTGACAAACACTACCAATAGCTTATAGTTATTGGTGGTTTAATGTAATTCACATTAGACTTAAAAAGCCTAGGATTTTGCCACTCCTGATTTCTTCCCCCACCTACTTTTTTTTTTTTTTTTTTGAGATGGAGTCTCGCTGTCTCCCAGGCTGGAGTGCATTGATGCGATCTTCTGCCTCCTGGGTTCAAACGATTCTCCTGCCTCAGCTTCCCGAGTAGCTGGGATTACAGGCATGGGCCACTGTAATTTTTGTATTTTTAGTATAGACGGGGTTTCACCATGTTGGTTGGGCTGGTCTCGAACCCCTGACCTTGTGATCCGCCTGTTTCGGCGTCCCAAAGTGCTGGGATTATAGGTGTGAGCAATTGCACCTGGCCTGATTTCTCACTTTTGAGTGTTACTTATTGGTTCTACAATTATTATTATCATTTTTTCCTTTGGGGCTAAGTAGCTAGGTTCTACAATTATTAATTGTGTGCCTTTGCTATCTGCCAGGCATTAACATGCTAGACACTGGCGATAGAGTAATGAACTAATGTGAAATATTTCTGGAGCCTTAAAATAAAACAACATTTGAAACCTAAAGCTTCAGTGATTGGGGAAAATATAACAACATGTAATTCTTCCTATATTTCGCTTTAAAGTTATTGTGAAAAGTTGTCTATAAGTGAATTAAGAATGCATTTGTTGAATTTATGCATAAATTTTATAAAAATAAAAACTACTTGAGAGTCTTTTATATTTTACAAAATTAGAAATGCTTAACTTTTTAAAGACTTTGTTTGCTGACCTTATAAGGTTTTCTTGTTTTGTTTTGTTTTTGAGATGACGTCTCACTTTGTTGCCCAGGCTGGAGTGCAATGGTGTGATCTCGGCTCACTGCAGCCTCTGCCTCCCAGGCTTAAGCAATCCTCCCACCTCAGCCTCCCCAGTAGCTAGGACTATAGGTGTATACCACCATGCCTGGCTACATTTTTTGTAGAGATGGGGTTTTGCCTTGTTGCCTAGGCTGGTCTCAAACTTCTGGATGCAAGTGATCCACCCACCTTGGCCTCCCAAAAGTGCTGGGATTACAAGCATGAGCTACTGTGCCTGGCCCTGACCCTTCCGAGTAGCTGGGTAGTAGCTGTGACTACAGGTGTGTGCAACCATGCCCAGCTAACTTTTTTGATTTTTAGTAGGGTTGAGATCTTGCTATGTTGCCTAAGCTGGTCTTGAACTCCTGGGCTCAAGCACTCCTCCCGCCTTGGCCTTCCAAAGTACTGGGCTTACAAGTGTGAACCCATGCCTAGCCTGATTTTGACCTCTTACAAATAAGAGATAACAGTATAAAAACAAACCAGTAAGATTCTATTATTTTAAATTAATAAGCAAGCATTAATTATATATTGATTATACACCTAAGAAAGTTACTTTTTTCTGTATAACCTTTTGTACCTCTTGAATTTTGTGCTATAGGAACCTATTACCTTTTTATAAAAATATATTCTAAGTTAAAAAATAGGCTGGGGGTGGTGGCTCACACCTGTAATCCCAGCACTTTGGGAAGCTGAGGCAAGAGGAGCACTTGAGGCCAGGAGTTCAACATAGTGAGACCTCATCTGTAAAGAAAATGTATAAAAATTAGCTGGGTGTGGCGATGCATGCCTGTAGTCCTAGCTACTCAGGAGGCTGAGACAGGAGGATCACTTGACCCAGGAGGTCAAGGCTGCTGTGAGTTATAATCACGCCATTGTACTCCACCCTAGTGACAGAGTGAGACCCTGTCTTAAAAAAAAAAAAAAAGTTTATACCAAACAGTTAAAATTAACTTTGAAAAATAAGTAGAGTCTGAACCAAATCTTTCAAGCATTTGATGAGCACTTACACACAGTTCTTGGTATAGTCAATATGTGACCATTCTGTCATCTTGGCTAGTAATACAGGTAGCTGCTGTCAGCATGTATGTGCTATATGCCAGTTACTTTATGTGCTGTGTTTTAGAATCCTCACACCTTATGCTCCATTTCTCTTTAGGAAACTTAGGTTTGGAGTTGTTAAGGAACTTGCCCAAAGTTAACACAGCTAGGATGAAAAATAAACTGGGTTTGAACTCAAGGCAAGCCCTTACACTCTGTGACCTAGGCAGAATCCTTTTTTTAAAAAAAATTTCTTTTATTTTACTTTACGTTCTAGGATACATGTGCAGAATAGCAGGTCTGTTACATAGGTATACATGTGCCATGGTGGCTTGCTGCACCTATCAACCTGTCACGTAGGTTTTAAGCCCCACATGTATCAGGTATTTGTCCTATTGCTCTCCCTCCCCTTGGCCCCCACCCCCTGAAAGTCTCCAATGTGTGATGTTCCCCTCCCTGTGTCCATGTGTTCTTATTGTTCAACTCCCACTTATGAGTGAGAGCATGTGGTGTTTGGTTTTCTGTTCCTGAATCCTATTAGAATTCTATTAGGGCGGAATCCTATTAGAACCAATGCCCTACCAACTTGAGGTGCTGTCATGACTAATGCCATTACTATAGGAATCTCTATGACAATAATGACAGAACTCATTTGTTTTATGGAATATATATTAAGAGGATACAGATAATCCTTAGAATTTTTGTTAATTATATTTGTAGTCTTTGAAAAGTTTTCCTTTTTATAGATGAATATGCCATAAG